CATTTCCACTCTCATACTTGTTCCAGGTGAATGTAGCATCCCGAATGGATACTGCCTCATCTCCAGTGTGAGTTACAGCATCTTGGTATTGGACAGCGTTTTCTTGCAACTCTTCGGAGGTTAAATATGCGGTCAAACGTGTGATGGCAACAGAGGATTCGATGATAGAAGTGATGACCATCGGTAAGATAGCGAGCGGGAAGGTGAGCAGGTTGAAGAGAGTCAATGCTGGGAAGACGATATCGGTGGTGAGAGGCTTGTCCGTGATCCATACAAAGACGGCGAAGGTGGAGCATGAAACCAAGAAAGGTGTGGATGACCAGGTGAAGTTAGCAATTGCTTGGGTAGCTCCAATTTTGCGCAGTGTGTTTAATTCCAGATCATTTCGAACATGGTTCAACTTGCTCATGAAGGCGGTGTTCCAGGCGTAGAGCTTAATACTCTTCATGTTGTTCAAGATTTCAGTCATAAGCCTCGTACGCTGGTCCTTGTTTTTCATCTGTTTGACCTGTAATGTCTTCATAACGTTGGCAATGAAACCATTGAGTGGAATCATGAGCACCATGGCTGCAATTCCGGCCCACATACTCCATCCGATCAGGTCGTAGAGGGAGATCATGCACAAGGTTATCTGGAATGGAGCTGACCACAGCTGTGTACCAAATTGAGCTAGGTCAGACAGTCGTTGCTGGTCTACGGCCATGCGGTTGACAATATCTCCAGTTGACTTGGTAGCACGGCCTTCGTTTGATAGTTTCAAAGCCTTGGTATAAATCATTGCAGTCAAAGAAGATTTGACACGCATACCAGTTTCAAATGCCCGCTGGAAATACTGGTGCAGACATGTAGTCTGGACAACAGAAACGATGAACATAGCCAGTGCAATGGCGACTCCGCGGATAGCAGGCTGCGGGTTATTGGTTTTGTAAGAATCAACGAAGCTGATGAGCATACGGAGGAGCTGTGGCTGGACAAATGCTAGGATATCACTCAAACATTTGATCAGAGCACCACGGAAATAGGGAGCGCTGAATGCCCGGAACAGGGCCATCCAAAGAGAGGGCTTCTTTTTCCTAAGCTCGTCTTCCCATACACTTTGCAGTTTTTCACCCGTTACACGCGTGGTATCTCGCTCTCGCAGGTTCCACATGTCATCTTGGGTGAGAAAGCTCTTGTAACCTTGTTTCATCAGAGGTGTCATCCATGAGAAAGTCAGGACGGAGAAGATATCGGCATATTCGAAGGGACATTCATCCTCATCGCCCAATGCATGGTAAACGCTCTGCTTCTTCTTGACGAAGTATTCGAGGATGAACTCGAGGAGGGCGATACCCAGGCCAACGTTGAAGGTGATAAAGTACGGCAAGTGATCTCGATAGTACTGGCGTGACGCCAGCGACTGAAGCTTGACGCCATGCGCGATAAGGAAGAAGAGCCAGTAAAAGAGCACCACACCGTTTGGCTGACGACTTCTCCAATGTTCGTGATACTGAACGGCATATATACAGACGAAGGAGAGAAGGAGAAGGATGGTGGTCCAGAATCTAAAGTCACTGGCCCAGACATGCGGGAGGTTTTCGATCTGCAGAGACGCCTGGAGTCCAACAACAATAACAAGAGCCCATATTAATGACTATCAACATGTTAGCAACTATATTCAATACGTCATCATCAAACTCTCTCGCGCGTACCAGTTTTGCGTAAAAGTGCCAGTTCCGTGGGATGTTCTCAGCTGTTCTATGTCTCAAGAGCAGCCACAGAGCTCCGGCAGAGCCAACCAGCCCAAACACGGCCACGAAGCAGATGAAGACGTCTAGAAAGCAAGGAGTAAGGCCGTATCTGATAGAGCTGATGGGGCCCCAGCCCTCCGCGTCGCCGCAGAAATGCCGGGCGTGAGCTAAGGGTCCGGCGACGACGTCGGCGATCTCGCTGGAGGACAGGGCGAGAACCGCCTGCTCTCCATCAATTCCCGCCATGGTCCCGGCCGTATGATGAGCAACAACCAGAGAATGGGCTTCGGAGGAGGGAAGACTTCAGGGAAAAGGAACAGGCTGCTGAAGAGAAGGCGAGCGAAGCTGGTCGGTTATCCAATTTATTTAATAGTTCGAAAAAACAACCCAGGAAGCGGTACGTAGCTAGTGCTTAGCTAAGCAGAGAGCTTACAAATGCAGCTTTTCCGCGTCGTTCTACAGCCGGAGAAAAAGCAAGGAAAAGGGAACTAAGTAAGCAAGCAGTTAAGTGTATGCAAACTAACAGCCTGGGGGAGAGCTTGCAAGCTGGGTCTCCTGCTGAGGCTGGCCGAAGGATGGACGGATGAGCCCTGCTCTGCTGCCTGGAGATTGCGGGATACGAGGCCTCTTCCGTGTCTGCAGAGGAGAGTCGGATTTAGTCGGGGTTAGGCGTGTCTCCCTACGTAATATAACGAAGTAACTAATACGCAGGGGGCGAGGGCTCTTTGCCTATGACTCTTGGACTCTTGACTCCGAGTTAGTCCACTTCACTAGGTGAGTCATCCAGTCCAGCCACAGCAGAGTTTGTTTCGTCAGTAGTACGGGAATAAGTGCTATATAACAAGCTGGAGCTGGAGCTGGAGCTGTTTGCAGCGAAACTGTCGACAGCTTAGGAGGGAGTTCTTGGCGTGGCTTCTGTTTGACAAGCGAGCAAACTTCCCCCGCTGGGACATTTCGGCGTCATCGACCAAACCCGCACGCCCGCACTAATCAATCTAATCAGACATCTATCTGGACAAACACTGCTTGCGATGGCGGCTGGTACTCCGCAGGGTGAAGCGCTGCTGAAGCGCCCGTTATACGGTGAGCTCGAGATTTCACCCCCATTGTGATAATAAACAGAGACCAATCATAAATAATGGTGAAACAGTGTACTCCCTCCCCGCCGAGCTGCTGGACTCTCTAACTACCAAGTCAGCAAACGGCAGCAGGGTCTTGCCGGCAGTGATAAGCGAGTCCACGGCCGGGGCAAGGGATAGCGATGACAGCACAAGCTCTCCGGGCTCCATGTCCTGTGCTCTCTGCCAAGTTGCCTTCCATGAAGTCAAAGAACAACGAGAACACGCCAAATCGGACCACCACCGGTACAATTTGAAGGCGAGACTACGGGGGACAGCCACACTTAATGAGACAGAGTTCAATAAGGCGATTGGAGATCTGGATGAATCCATATCTGGCTCGGAATCTGAGTCTGATGATGACGAGGAGAGCGGGCAGCAAACGCCTGATACCACCCTGACGGCACTATTGAAAAAACAGGCCAAGATAAGCTCGCCGGTGCCGTTTGATGACAGTTCAAATTCAATTAGAAAGAGTCGTGGAGGCAAAGAGCCGTTATTATGGTTTACTAGCCCGCTACTTGACGCAAATACCTCACTGGGAGTATATCGAGCTCTGTTTACGAACGAAGAGCAGACAGAGCCAAACTATTTGGTTGATTCTCTAAGGGCCAAACAAAAGAAGCCTCATGTTATACAGAGGGCTAAAGATACCTCGGAGACAGCTTCCAGCACATCCGAGGCCACAAAGGATTCGCCCCCTGAACATATATTCCTATGTATGATCGGTGGCGGCCACTTCGCCGCCATGGTGGTAGCTCTGGCGCCTGAAGTTCAGAAACGCTCTGGAGTAGAAGAAAGACAGGCACGCGTGCTTGCACATAAAACATTCCATCGATATACCACAAGACGAAAACAAGGAGGTGGCCAGGCGGCTCATGATGCGGCTGGAGGAGCAGCTCACTCCGCGGGTGCTACATTGCGGCGATATAATGAAGCAGCCTTGGAAAGTGAAATCAGACAGTTATTGAAGAGCTGGAAGGATATGATTGATGATGCGCAGTTACTTTTTATTCGAGCTGCTGGGTCTACCAACCGTAGAATATTGTATGGGCCATATGAGGGACAGGTTTTGAAGCATACGGACCCCAGAATACGTGTGTTCCCCTTTAGCACACGCCGAGCTACCCAGGCAGAGCTAATGAGGGCATTTACGGAACTTACTCGCGTCAAGGTCAGCCATATCGACGAGGCTGCACTTGCTGCAGAAGAAGCGAAACGGGACGCAGCCTCCAAGTCACCCAAGTCTACGGCTCAAACACAACCTCAGAAGCCTAAAATATCCAAAGAAGATGAAGCCGCGATGCTTCACACATCTCAGATTCAAGCTCTCATTCGACGTTCAAAGGTTCCTGCACTGCTGTCATACATTTCAAGCAATTCAATACCACAAGATTTCCGGTTCTATCCGGCCAACTCGGCACAAAACTACCATGCGTCAACTCCTCTACATCTTGCTGCAAGCTCCAATTCACCAGCCATCGTCAGCGCGCTGCTAACGAAGGTACGGGTGGATCCAACCCAGCTAAATGACGATGGGAAACCGCCGTTTGATCTCGCTGGAAACCGCATAACTCGAGATGCATTCAGGGTTGCTCGACACGAGCTTGGTGAAGAGGCTTGGGATTGGGAAGCTGCTCATGTACCCTCTGCAATGTCCAAGCAGGAGAGTGACAGCCGAGAAGAAGCGGAGAAAAGGACGATACAGGAAGCTGAAAACAAAAGACGAACAGAAGAAGTTGAACGCCTGAGGAAAGAGGAAACCCCTTCGATTGGGGGGAAGAACCGGGCTTCTCGCCAAACAATTGCCGCTATCCAGCAAAAGACTGGTGCTGAGAAACGAGAAGAAGAGACTAGAGGAATGACCCCCGAGATGAGAATGAAATTGGAGCGGGAGCGGCGTGCCAGAGCGGCTGAGGAAAGGATTCGAAAAATGCAAGGAGGCTCCGCTGCTTGAAATATGATATGACCTCAAGCTCGACCTTTCACATCAATCAACCAAGCCGGACTTTCTTCCATACTTTGAGGCATTCTTGCATGTCAGTAGACACTTGAGCCTCTGAACGTGCCGCTATTTGGATAGTATATATTATAGACGAGGCATAACAGAAATTAGCCGTATTCCCCCGTAAGAATTCTATCTCCGACCGATTCATGCCTGGAGACTGATGCCAGATCGTCCAACGATCACACAGCTGAGCAATTGACTTGGCTTGGATGGAATCTAGAACCATCAGATACAACACTGCTTTGGCTAGGTCCTTGATCTGATACGTTTTGGGAACGCAGTTGTTCCTTACCAGCCACCTCAAGCAGGCATCTGCAATGTCCTTATTACTCAACTTAGGAGACGTCAATGCCTCCACTCCGCGCTTCTCTTCATACTCACGCATAAGCCTCATTTCTTCGGCATGGTCGTTTCGCATTGCCGCCCATCTCGCCTGTTCTCTGGCCCGGCGAGACGCCTCAGCTTGAGCCGGCGGCATTGTTTTCTCAACCTCCTTGGCCCATAGATCCTCAAGAAACCTGTTATGGAACTTCATATGGTCATTAAACTGTGGTCGTGGAGATGCCCAGTGTGGCAATTCGTCTCCCTGCATGATCCCTAGCAGCTCCATAATACCACATGGGACAGCTTCCCTACTTGCTGCCAGTAAAATGTTTTGTGGTAGTGCAAAGCTCCATGTTCCTGCTTTTTCAATGTGGCCTAATGACGAGGCAGTATAGACGAACCACTGGTTGATTGCGTCACCTGAATGACCCATCTCCGCCGTCCTCCCGGTGAGTAAATGGTCCTGTTCAAGGTAGATTTTCTCAACGGTATCACTTTCGATGCGGAATCGAATGCTGTCGCTGCTGGAGTCGGTGCTGTCAAGTGAAGCACGCTTTTCTTCGATATGAGCCAGTAGTGATGGAACTGTAGCTGGAGGCGCGGAGTCATCGCCCTCAGATAGCAGCTCTGCACCATCTTTATCATCAATTCCTCCACTGTCTCTTGAGATAAACTCTGTGCTTGAATATGTTCCACCACCGAACAGTTTCGGTTGATCGATCCGCATCCAAAATGGCGGTAGGCAATGTTTATCACGCTGGTCCCAATCACATTGCCAATGAACCTTAAGACTCAGAACACCATCTGAATCATCAGGTACACTCGTCCTTAAAACAGCTCCAAATCCGCTCAGAGGCGATCGTAGTAAGACTGTTCCAGCCGGGGTCCACAGCCCACTTGTTCTCAACATGTTCCAGCCATTTTCATCGGGTACAGCCCCACGATCTAGTAGGAATCCGATCAGCTCATCAAAATCAATCTCTGCCTGAGGGACGAGTAGTTCATCCTTGTATTGGATCCGGTATAGTTTTTTGCCAGTAACCAGGCAGTTCCAGTGAAAATACGACCATGAACCTCCAATGAGGCTGGACCGGTTTGGATTAAGCTTCCAATATTCCTCATCTTCTTCCCGGTCGAGAGGAGTTATGGTATAGCGAGGCAACTCAACTTCAACGATCCCTGACATCATGCTACCTCTTGTGACTGCTGAGTTGGAGTGCCCATTTTGCGCCAGGACTTTGCGGATCGACCTTAGCACCAGGAGTGCGCGAACACATGTGTAGAGTATGGGGAGCACACCGATCACGGCAAGAGGAACGCCGATATAAGTAATGATATCAGCGGGAGAGGCGTTCGACATAGCAATGGCATAATACTAGAAGGAATCTATCGTAGGAGTGTACGCTCAAACATTGGGGTTTGTAAGGAGAAAGGATTGATGTTGTGAGATAAAAATAGGCACTGTTTAGTACGGTCCAGAAGGAGTGCCTTGGCAGGGGTCTCAGCCTCATTCGCTTATATTCATTGCAATCCTCGCAAAGCTCAGTGAGCCTTGTTAGATGTTGAACTTCTCAGAACACTCGAGGTGTGTTATGCTGTGTTGTGCAACGTATAATTATAATACTTAGGCAACATTAGTATATTGAACCGTCCGATTATGTTTATTCACAGATATAGGAAGCAAGTCCATGAACACGTAGTTCAGAGTGCTCTATTCAATATCCATCAGTAATGTCAGTAAAGCGTAAATGGGCTCTACCAAAATATAATACAGAAATCAGGCTTCAAGGAAATCCGTTGGCGCCATATATCGGCGTGTTCATAGGTAGTCCGTGCGTTTTCTCAATCGGGCATATCTAGACCTCATCTCTTCAACGTCACTTCAACTCTTCCTTGACAACTTCATCTCAGGCTGAAGAGAGTGTGATTGCGCTTACTGATAAAAAACTCGGTGTATAGCCAATTATAGGTCTGCAATGTCTGGTAAACACTCTGAAGATGACAGCGGCGTATTCCAGCCATGCTCACCAGATCATGTTGGGACTCTGTATGTCCATAATGCGAGGAACAAGTGTTGCAGTGGTAGGTTACGGAGGCTGTCTAAGAATATTCCCGGTTCTAGAGAAGCAACCCGGGGTATCAATGCAAGAAGGGCAATGCTAATAAACCATTTATAGAATGGAAGCTATTTGCCAATGAAGAGTTCATAGTCGGCCGGAATTCAAGCTCATGGTAGGTGCTCGTCTCATTTCCGGTCGTCAAAGCAATTCGGAAAACCCATTGTTAACTAATCTTCTAGTCACCTGGTCGTGGATGACCCTGTGGTTTCCAACGTACATCTTCGTATCTACTCAATCATATTTGACCAAGAGAACCCTACACAGGTCGCGCCTCTCGTGTATGTTCAAGACCTGTCCCGCAATGGAGCTTTCTGGAATGGATTCAAAATAGGAAAAGCCAGCGGAGGGTTCCTCTTAAGTGATGGAGATATGGTAAAAGTTTGCAGCAGCGTGGTGTTAGAGTATCGGGGTGAGAGAGTGCTCCAAACACCATTCGATCAAGTTCAGATCCAGGAGATGAAACATTTCGAGGAACAATACTCCATAACCAACCGTACTTTAGGGTGTGGGGCATATGGGCGAGTACACATGTCCATTGATAAGAAAAAGAAGAGACAGCTGGCTTGCAAAATAGTGAACCTAGCACATTTGAATGCTAGGCTTCAACAAATTGAGATGGGGAAAATGCCCCAAACGAAGGTTTCAGAAGCACGAAATAAGGCATCTAAACAGCGTCGCCTCACATATAGGGTACAAGCCAAGTTGGGAATGTACGACCGGGAGGTGGAAATTTTGCAGAAGCTACGACATGTAAGTGAGGCAAGCACGTCCTGTCAACTTGCAGCAGCAGCTAACAAGACTGCTAGCCCAACATAATCAACATCGAAAAAGTCTTCAAGACAGACAATGCCATGTGAGTGTTCGTTTGTTGACCAAGATGTGGCCAAGTTTCTGAGATTGAAGCAGATACATATTTCAAGACCTTGTCACAGCAGGCGACTTGTTCTCCTTCCTTGAGTTCAAGAACGGCAAGCTCTTGGACGTGGAAGCTGCTGTGATAATCCGACAAGTGGTGATTGCACTAGTGTACTTACATGGTCAAAACATTGTCCATCGAGATATCAAACCGGATAACGTTTTAATGACGTCCTTGTCTAATGGATCTCGGGTGATATTGACTGACTTTGGATGTGTCCGGTATCTGAATCCCAAGAAGTCACGCATGGCCTCCGTGATGGGTACTTTGGAGTATACTGCACCGTAAGAATGCTCGACCATGGATCAATACAATGTGTGCGCTAATATACCTTGTTATAGAGAAATGGGCCAAGGGTGCCACAAGCCAACTAAAGGGTATACTAAATCCGTTGATTTGTGGTCTCTGGGCTGTCTCACTGTTGTCCTTCTGACGGGCGGTTCACCGTTCAGTGATCCAGTGACTGGTAAATACTGTGGAAAGCTGGCCAAACAATGTAACCTCGATGTGCTCGAGCAGGATGAAGACTGGAAGTGTGTAGGTGACCGTGCAAAACAGTTCGTTCGTGGCCTCCTTGTCCTTGACGATAAGCAACGAATGACAGCCGAGCAAGCATTGGGCCATGACTGGTTCACAAACAGCGCGCACAGCCAAGCTTTCAACGAGCTTTACGTGCGTGCAATCCAAGGGTGGGAACCACGAGACGAAAAAGAGAAGGTATTATACGACCTGCGGTATGCACAAGGGTCCATGGGTGAGTACACCTTCTGGCAAGGTAGAAGTGCCATCCAACTTTCCCCGGAGGGCCAGGAAGATGATCGAAAAAGCACATCCCCTGAGGATGAGATCGGAGAGTCATCTTACTTCTCCATCTCGCGCTGGGATCCTGAAATGAAAGCCGGAAAAAACATATCGATAACGCTCTCAGATCCCGGGAACAAAGAGGCCCCTGAGAGGTTACATAGTAGCACGGATGCTTCTTCCCATCACTCCCCACAAGGGTCAACGGCTCAAAAGCGGGATGGTATATTGATGGACCCAAAGAGGGCCACAGTCCGCTTTGAAGCGACCAGCCATGACGATGCAGCTGACCACCAGGCCAAGCCGCGTATCAGGAACCCGTTTAGTCCCGAAGCATGGAACAAGAATGATCACGAACCAGTTCAACGGCCGAAGGGAACACAGTCTAACACGAGTGTGGGTGATGATATGGGGCACGAGCAGCCGGAAACAGTGACTAAAGGCGAATGGGATCCTAACGTGGTGAGAAGAACCGCAGTACCCTCGTTAATCACCAAACAACATCGGAATGAAGCTCTCGCCCTAAGGCCTGAAAGGGCAGCGGCCCAGCATGTGCCTGCTAAGCGCAATTTCAAGGGTGCAAGCTCTCGGCCAAAGTGCGACAGCGGCAATAGATCGTCTTTGGAGGAAGACGAAGTGTTTGAAGAGATACTCGACCCTCTGACTGGGAAGCGTCGTGCAGTCAGATATGGTGAGCAATAAAACGTTGTTGTTCTACCAACAGGTTGACAGGGAGGTAGTTATCAGTCACATTGCTGCCCCCCGTTGTTCAATTTTTGCTTTTATTACTTCCTATTTTCCAAAACGAAAAAAAAAAAAAAAAAAAACGACAACAGCACCAAAAGCAGCCTCGACGCGTCCAGCTATCTCTGTGACCAGTAGCAAACTGTCCGACCTTTCCCTTTTTCTTTGTCCTTTCTCTTCTTTCCTACGGAGAACTATGAGGGGGATAGCCAGACAGCAACAAACAAACAAAGCCAAGGGGTGGGCGGTTAGATATTATTATTATTATGATGCAACAGCACCACCACGGGGCAGGCCGGTCCCCTCTCTGCCTCCCTCGCTTGATAGCCCTCTGAGGCATCACATTGTTGCTTGTCTTCCTTTTTCCTCCCACGCACGCTCTAGCTCCTCCCAGCCCGGATCCTAAGCGGCCTTGTCTCGGTCCCCATGCCGGCCTCTTCACCGCACACAACAACAGACCAAAAGACTAGCCCCGACGGAGCATTTCGTTCCCTTGCTAGAGGATGGACCGCCCTTTCTCTAGCTCCATACACCTTCGTCTTGCACGCTCTTCACGCCGACCTCCTCCCCACCGCAGCCCCCATTATTAAGCCGGCTTCGCTGCGACTTTCCATCCTCGCCGGCGTTGCTTTTTCCCTGCAGCGCCAATTTAGCCCTGGCCGCGCCAAGCCGCTTGTGCCGCTAGCCTGTCAGAGCCCGTTTTTTGCCTTTCTGTCCTCCCGATCGTGCGATTTATGTTGGTTTTCCCTCCCAACCTCCTCCCCCCCAGGTTCCCAACTCCTTACAATCAACCCGTCCGCATCCGCCGCATCGCCGTTTAACCACCCACGCACCGTCACAAAGACCGCTACGACGCAGCGCATGAAGCGCATCACTTAACAGGACTTCTTCCAGCTTACCGCATCTCCATACCACCTCGCGTTCTCAAGAAAACTCGCCCGGCGCATAACTCCCAGCGCCAAAAAAATAAAAATAAAAAAAATCCAGGCAGCCGCCGGCACAGCGCAAACAACGCTCATCTTTGAATACATATTCGCCTTCACTCCCGCTTCGGTCGCGGATACTTAGCACAGGCTTGCGCTTCTGCATACGCAGTGTACGGATCACTTCAAGCACGATGCTTCTACCTTCTGCCCTGTCGTGCGAGTCACGGCAACAACAATATTCCTCTCGGCCTCGCTTCGCTGCCTCCCACCTCTTCCCATCCACTCCGCCGCCCTCTGATGATGGCATCAGATCTGGAAATGGCCTCCTGGGAACATGCCGAGCCCTCCAGTCACTTCTGAACGTATCCCCTGCTCCCTCCCCCAGTCGTACGCGCACTCGAGCACCCAAGCCAGAGCGTCTCCAGAGCCCTCTACAGGTGAAACCCACGCCATATCTTCAGGACCGAACCGCCTCTGCTTCATCTACCTCATCATCTACAGGCCCTTTATCATCTGCGCGCACAGTTAAGAGGGTCGTCAAGCCAGCCGCAAAGTACCCTCGCGGTGCCAACAAGAGACGGAGAGAGGTCTACGAGGAGTCCATGGACTTCCAGCACGGAAGCAAGAATAGAGGACATGAAGACAAGTTCTCAACACCAAAGAGGCAGAGACGTGCGCCTCC